AACTGCGTTGTAGTCGATCTCTTCTTGGCCCCCTTACCAGCAGACTGTCCCTGTAACGCACTAAACATAGCACCAGTATTATGAACTTCAGCAGTAGCAAGCAACATACGGTTTGCAGGCTGATCTCCTGTTTTATCAGCTGTGACTTGAGAGGACTTCCTCACCCGATCCATGGCACATCTATAGATATAAGACAAAAATTGATTAAATTGAAGATTTGATAAATCAACACAATATGTACAGCGCAAGCTGGAAAAACATGGTTTTATGCACGAAGGGCATTCGGGGTGAGGATCAGCCACGGATAACCTGAGCCTGCAAACACTGCAAGATTTCATGAAATGTAAACAAAGTTACGTAACGATGAAATAAAGACACTAATACAAATAATTTCTACAAATCTTTTACATATAATACATAGGAATTTTTGCCAAATCCATATACAGCGTAATTTTGAAGAATAGGACCTAAATAAAAAGGATATAAAGCCGTATAAGGGACTCCAGTGCTCGCCCAACCATCCGCTTGGGTGAAAAGGGAGAGAGTGAAAAGTAAGGCTGGTCACATGATTGTTTGCGCGGGAAAGGGCAAAAGGGAGGTAACTCGTGGATGAGTGTATTTTTACGTCCGCTTCAGGAACTTCAAGGGATTCAAGTGTGCCACTACCATTCGAAAAGGAAAGGGAGACATGCAAAAGATCATGAGTCAGGATAAGTAAAAATTATGTAATTTTTTGAGTAAAATTGATATTTTATACTTATCCTGACTCATGCTCTTTTTGCTTGTCTCCTTCCTCTTGCGAACATAGTGGAACACTTGTATCTCCCTAATTGAAGTTCCCTTCAATGTAAAATCACTAATTAGTACACCACGAGTTACCTCCCTTCCACAAGCGCGGGAACGAGGGCGCCACCTCTACCCATGTGCCTCACTCTCTCCTCATATACTGAGCCCAACATTTGAATTTACAGGGAAATCCAAAGTGTTATTTGGGGAGGATGGGAGGGCTGACCTCATGAGTCAGGATAAGTATAAAATATCAATTTTACTCAAAAAATTACATATTTTTCCTTATCCTGACTCATGCTCTTTTGCTTGTAGAATCCTACAGAGCGGAGGTGGGAATATATAATACTTTGGATTTTAATAATTAGTGATTTGAACTGTGATGATTGTAATAACCCTATGGGAACTTCATAAAGGCACTGAATTGATGAATTCCTGCTGCTAACTTATCAGCTGCCATATAAAGGTTATTACAATGTACTTATTATGATAAAGTATATATAACATTAATACAATGCTTAAGACTAATAGACTTAAGCTTGTTAATATGCTAGTATAAACTCCTTAGAGTTTGTTAGCTAAATTACTTTAAAATATAAACATAGTACTAAGCTTAAGATATGATTAAACTTAAGCTAATTATATAATAGCAAAACTCTTTTAGAGTTTGTTAGTTAATATACTTATATGATATAGACATAGTGCTGAGCTTAAGATATGAATAAGCTTTAGCTACCTATATAATAGCAAAACTCTGTAGAGTTTGTTAGCTAATATATTTTTACAATATGAGTATAGTACTGTGCTTAAGATATAATTAACTTAAGCTACATATATAATAGCCAAAACTCTGTAGAGTTTATTAGCTTATAGATTTATAATGTAACCATAGTACTAAGCTTAAGATAAGATTAGACTTAAGCTAAATGTATATAGCAAAAACTCCTTAGAGTTTATTAACTAATATACTTTTATGTTATAACCATAGTACTGAGCTTAAGATATAATTAAACTTAAGCTATATATATAATAGCAAAACTCCGTTAGTATAATGAGCTTTTGTTAGCTAATACCCTTTAGAGTTTGTTAGCTAAAATGTAACCATATTGAGCTTAAGATATGATGAAACTTAAGTTTGCTATACTTATATTAAACATAGCTTTGAAGGAAACCTTAAGCTAATAAGCCCTTTAGAGTTTGTTAGCTAAAATACTTATATGATATAAACATAGTATTGAGCTTTATGAAGGAAAACTTAAGCTACATATATAATAGCAAAACTCCAGTAGAGAGTTTGTTAGCTAATACAAGTTATAATGTAACCATAAAGCTTAAATTATGATGAAACTTAAGCCAAATATATAATAGCAAAAACTCTTTTAGAGTTTTGATAGCTAATATACCTATATGATATAAACATAGTATTGAGCTTAAGATATGAATAAGCTTAAGTTACATATATAATAGCAAAAACTCCGTAGAGTTTGTTAGCTAATACATGTTATAATGTAACCATATTGCTTAAGATATGATGAGACTTAAGCCAAATAGCAAAAACTCTTTAGAGTTTGTTAGCTAATATACTGATATGATATAAACATAGTACTGAGCTTAAGATATGAATAAGCTTAAGCTACCTATATAATAGCCCAAACTCTGTAGAGTTTGTTAGCTTATATATTTTTACAATCTGAGTATAGTACTATGCTGAAGATATAATTAAGTTAAGGTAAATATATAATAACCAACTCTGTAGAGTTGTTAACTTATATATTGTATGATGTAATAATCATAGTACTGTGATGATAAAAAGAACTTAAGCAAATTATATATAGCATGTAGCTATTTAGTACTGTTATAAGATAAGTAGAAATCTGTAAGATTGACTTATCTTCTCCGAGGAACTGTCAACTGTTGTGCGAGGACCATGGGATCGAATTGGTGGATACCTGAGACGTCCTCGGTGATGATATCTCTCAGATAATGGTTGGCAACCACCATATCGGATCTCCAGAAAATAAACCCTCCATTATTTCAAATAATATTGTGTAGATCAATTGTAGAAGTTAGCGCGCTCTAATATCATGAGTATTAAAAGCTCATGGAGGGTCGGATTGGGTCCATCCGTCTTGTATGCACGTAGTATGACAGTTCTGATCCAAACGGAGATATAGTACGTGAGATTCCATTTTGCGTAAGTTGATGATAGAGGAAATAATCTGTTGTATTATTCCCTTCTGTTTGGTTCGGTGGAGATAAATTTACAGTGCTCTTGCTGGCCATCGTGATAGAATCATCGTATCATGGAGTCCAAGTATGTCATCCAGGCGTGTTCATAAACCTCACTTGTGAGGTGTTGGAGCACTATATTCAGATCCCCAAGTTGGAGGGTGAAACTTCCGTTTTAATTCTTGCTCTTGTGTAGTCAGGTGTCCTTCGCGAAGGCCTTCGACGCGAAGGCCAGCCTTCGCGTAGCTTCCTCTGCGTCCGGTCCTGGGGAACGGCGATTTGACCTTCGCGAAGGCTGATGGTCTGAGTCCGCATCTAAGGATGAAGCTGAGGAAGGTGATGATCTATCCCGCCTTCACGAAGGCCTTCGCGAAGGCTGTACATCTGGGTCCTTCGTGGAGGTGGTCTGCGACTTCCTTCGCGAAGGTGGCTTCGTCGTGGCTGTTACGCTGATGGGGGTGCCTCTGGGGTGTCGTCTGCGTTGGAACCTTCGCGAAGGCTCAGGCCTTGGGCTGGCTGCTTCCCAGTCTATAGTGGCCCTCCATCATGATCATGCTTTGCCGCAACAGTTCATCTGGGATGGTCTGCGACGAATTAGTCGGTGCCCTCTCTGCGATGTTAGCGGCGGGGCCCTCAGGGAAGTCGTCTGACGTCAGTGTAGAGACCTCAGGCTGCATGGCGATCTCTGCTGATGTCACTGTAGCTGTCTCCGGTCGCTTCTTGTGGCGTACGTCGGGGATGATGATCGGCTGATCATCGTAGAGGCCCAGTTCAGCGGCTGGAACAATCTCGGTTGAGAAAGTCCTAGTAGACTTCGTTGATTTCCCCTCAGAGGTCGACGCTGCCCTGGGGGTGCGAAGTCTGCGTTGAGTGTTGGTAGCGACGGGACCCTCAGGAAGATCTTTTGATGTACATCAGGTATGATGATCGGCTGATCATCATACAGGCCCAAATCTGCGATGGGAACAATTTCGGCTGAGAAGTTCAAGTAGCCTTCGTTGATTTCCCCTCAGAGGTCGCGTTGAGATGCAGTAGAAACCCTCTAGTCTTCGGCTGCGACGATGGGATGTCTGGGGAAGCAGGACGCTTCTTAGAGGCGGTGGACTACGTCCCACGCCTCTCCACCACTCTAGCGGAACACCAGACGGGAGGGGGGGTCGACCAACAGCAGTAGACTGGCGAGGGGTTTAGGTGTATCAGTCATGGCTAGACTCTGCATCATGCGACCTATCTGCTGCTTGGCGTCTGAAAGCATAAAGTAATTATTTATTAAAGGTAGAATTGGATAAATTAGTATCGCAACTGCAACGTGAATCACATGAAACATGGCGCCCAGTACAGCTAGGGCATATTAAATGCGGATCAGCAGCAGAATAAAAAGCGTAATGTGCAACAGTACAGAATTTTTATCAACGTAATCCACTGAAACAGCACGGCCCGTGCATAAACAGTAGAAACACGACTAAATATCAATATATAATTGTTGAAAGATACTAGCTAAACCTCTATAGATCTCTATACGAGGTAACTAACTAAATATAATCAAAGGATATAGTGTGTCGGGAGACACAGGCGCTCTCACGTCCAGCTCACTGGGCAAAGAAGGAGAGAGTGAGGCACATGGGTAGAGGTGGTGCCCTCATTCCCGAGCTTGTGGAAGGGAGGTAACTCGTGGTGTACTAATTAGTGATTTTACATTGAAGGGAACTTCAATTAGGGAGATACAAGTGTTCCACTATGTTCGCAAGAGGAAGGAGACAAGCAAAAAGAGCATGAGTCAGGATAAGGAAAAATATACATTTTACAATCGACTCACAGTGCAGTGATAAAACAAAATTGAGGGTGGCTCCTCTTTGATGACATTCTAACCAAGACAAAGGAATTTCAAGCATGAACCACTGACATTCAACTGACGCACATCAACATTCACTGTTGAAATATACCTATTTGTTAGATCAGATTTTGAGAACAGTTTCCCAACTTACATATTTCTCCAAGTAGAGAGTCTGGTTGTCCATGAGAGACTTGACCATCCTCATCAGGTAGATGAGCAGGGCGAGGTTGTTCTGAACGACGTTGATTTTAACCTGTCAGGATCGATAATCACATACAGTAAATCAGAGATAAAGTTCTATACCGATCGGCACAATCACACCTCTGTAGTACTACATCGATTGATTGAATAATCCGTCAATCAATCAAGATATATCAGCTTGCATCAGTGGTTATCGATGAATACTTGACTAATATATAAGCTACATTAATGTTGTGTGTATGTGTGTAGCTTCTTGTTTTAGCCTAGACAAAATGCCTTGTTGACTAGTACCAGGCTTCAGTGAAGGCTGAGCTCCAGGGAGAATCATAACAAGCACCATTTGTTAATTTCTTTCAGGCTGATCCACCCTTGTCTTGACCCTAAAAATACTTTGAGGAGGGAATGAGGGAATGAGGCTAGATCAGTCTGTCCCTGATAAGGCACTGAAATTGTCCCGATAAATGATGATTGTTGAAAACACTTCCAGTGAGTGAGTGAGTGAGTGAGTGAGTTTAGTTTTACGCCGCACTCAGCAATATTCCAGCTACATGGCAGCGGTCTGTAAATAATCAAGTCTGGACCAAACAATCCAGTGATCAACAGCATGAGCATCGACCTGCGCAATTGGGAACCGATGACGTGTCAACCAAGCCAGCAAGCCTGACTGCCCGATCCCGTTAGTCGCCTCTTACAACAAGCATGGGTGAAAACACTTCCAAGAAGTGAATGGGTCTTTTAGGTGTATTTGTAAAGAAAGTCACACTACAGACCACATTTTATACAAAGTGAAAGTAGCCTACAATATGGAGTATATTTCAAACATTTTCATGATATTTGTTGTAAAGTCTCTGTTTTAACTCTTGGACTATGTTGTACTCACCCCCTCTGATATGAATGTACTGAACCGAGGAAGCATCTGATGTAGGCCTGGATCTGTGGCAAGACTCTGCAGGGCTTCCTGAAACACAGCAGCAGACAGGGGTGTAGGGTAGGGACATAAACTGCAAGCCTTATATCACAAGATGATTATGACTCCAGACACAAAAGAGGGGAAAGAGGGGCGCTTAGTGGTTAAAGCATTTGCTCGTCACGCTGAAGACCCGGTTCGATTCCCCACATGGGTACAATGTGTGAAGCCCATTTGTGTGTCCCCTGCCGTGATATTGCTGGAATATTGCTAAAACGTACTCACTCATTCTGGGCACACCTGCCAGCATCATTGAGATTCAAAAGTATCATCATGATCATAACTCCATTCTTATATCCTGGGCTCCAGATAACTTTTGGGGGTGCAAGTGTACTCACACATCATATTGCAAGTGGAAGTGTACTGAGAATTTTGAAGGAGTACTGACATATTTTTGTGTGAGCGAGTTGGTAATGTGGTTTGTCTGGACGATTCATCGATCACTATTTCCAACCATGTGTTTGTATTTGAAGACACGTGAGAAATAACTGAGCGACCGTGTGATGCGCGAAATGTCAGGTCCGACTGGATATAAATAGGAACAATGTAGTTTTTAGCCAATCGAAAAATAGTGACGCATATCGTTGCATGGCAACGCAAGGGATTCCTACCGTCGGGGTTTCCTCATGTGTCAAATCGTGTGTCGCAAAAGAAACTTGACAAGTATTTATCCGAAATAGATTTCCATTTGCACGATATGCACGGAAATTAAATGTTAGACGTACAAAGGTATTTATGTGCGTACACGATACGCTTGAAATCTTACATTATGTCGTACTTAATTGATTTTGAGGCGTACATTACACCTGTACGCCCCTTATCTGTAGCCCTGAATATCTGATCATGATAAATTCCTTTCACCTTTTCCTATGTCTTCTTACAACATTTCAGTCTGACTAAATAGGAAATGATGCTAAACATAGCTATCCAGTCATTACACTCATGCCTGGGAGAATAAAAAGGACTGACCAAAGAGGAGACTGTGTTACCCAAACAAAGGTAAGGCATCATATTTGTATTCGTTGTAAGAAAATGGAGGTATACCATTTACACACAAAACCAGGTACCTGAAACTACAAACAATAACCCAAGTAAATGAGTTATATCAGCAAAACATTTCAAAGTGCCTGCTGATGGCTCACTCTTTGTTGATAGTGCATGGCTGAAGGTGTGACATAGTTCATGATATTTACTAAGAATACGGGGAATTTTCAGTAGACTGATTTATCGAGGTACATTCTTCCCATGATATGTATCACAATATTATCCTTGAATCACAATATATCATGTGTTTAATGTCAACATTTGCTAAACATTTTTCCAAAAGAAGGGAAGCAACTCTGCACAGTACCGTACAAGACTGGGCTGATCATGCCTTCATTTTATCTGGACTTAATGTCCATAGGCGGATCCAGAGTGAGTGAGTGAGCGAGTTTAGTTTTACGCCGCACTCAGCAATATTCCAGCTATATGGCGGCGGTCTGTAAATAATCGAGTCTGGACCAGACAATCCAGTGATCAACAGCATGAGCATCGATCTGCGCAATTGGGAACCAATGACATGTGCCAACCAAGTCAGCGAGCCTGACCACCCGATCCCGTTAGTCGCCTCTTACGACAAGCATAGACGCCTTTTACGACAAGCATGGGTTACTGAAGACCAATTCTAACCCCGGACCTTCACGGGTCGGCGGATCCAGAGGAGGGTGCAGGAGTGCACAACACACACCTCACCCCCACACCTCACACACACACACAAAGCTATATCCGACCCTGATGTCTAACGATGTAAGGGAAATTATACAGAAAATATATCATCATTGCAAGTATGTCTTCATCAGTGAACTCTCAATAACTGAAACTCAGTTCTGTTAACTTTCACTCTCAGTATTCTTTGTTCCTGGTCCACTTACCGATCTTCTTCCTTCGTCAGGTCCCACACAGGCCTCTGTGATTTCCTTGTAATACAACTGCTGCTCCTGTAATAGAGGGATGTAATTGATGTAGAGAGATATAGACTGATCAGAGTCATAACACCATCCAATTCCAATTGACAGTGGAATTTGTGAAACTTTTCTATCTGATGCAATGTGCTTCCATAAATCATGTTCCCTTTTAGTTTTTGCCTTCCCCATCTTGTAGAAGACTCAGGTCTAAGACAAACACACTGGAAACCTGCTCAATCCATAATCCTTCATGGTGTGATCCATGGCACCTTACTTTAACCTACCAGTACTCTGATGAGCTGTTGCCTTCTTAAACCTGTTTTTTCCCCCCCCCAACTTCTTGCTGAATACACAACCTCTTCTTGACTACGCTAACCTCCTGTTGTCTAGCTAAACCTCTTTTTGCTTACAAAAACACTTATAATTGACCACCCATGCCTCCTTTTGACTGCTCCAAATTATCTTAAGTACCATAACCATTTTGCTGACAATTCCAAATGTCTTTTTGACTACCCCAAGATCTTGCTTAACCCTGATCTCTAGCTGATCATCACAAGTTCTTGATTACCCCAAACCCAGAGGATTATCCTATCGCCCGTGGATTACTCTCATCCCATTTCACATTTCTTCATACCACTGAAGGGGTGGTGGGGTAGCCAAGTGGTTAAAGCGTTTGCTTGTCATGCTGAAGACCAGGGTTCGATTCCCTACATGGGTACAGTGAGTGAAGCCCATTTCTGGTGTCCCCCGCTGTGATATTGCTGGAATATTGCTAACAGCGACGTAAAACCATTCTCATTCACTCAGTCACTCTTACCACTGAAAGCTCATGCATGGATAGATTCTTCAGTTTCACTATCTCAGCTCCACTCTTCATCTTATGCTTGGCTTTGCCTCCTTCAGACTGTGTCTTGGGCTTGAGGACCTTGTCAATGGCTGTCTTGATGTTTGTGTCCAGACTTTCAATCTTTAGCTGCTCCTTCGTGGCTGGAGGAGGGTTCTCTGGGATGGACGGCTGGACTCCATCAATACTCAACCAATGTGCTGAATAAGCAATTTAAAAAAAATCTATGAGAATTTATTTTTAGAATTTCATTTGACTTTTTACTTTATTTCAATTGATATTAAACTGTAAAGTTTCCAACAGTGATAGTTTCTCCACAACAATTGGAAATAGTTCAGAACTAATAAATCAATTTGTAGCATTTAGACTGATCACTGATCCCCTGCTTTACAGGAGGGTTCCAATGATCACCGTAATGTAGGACCAGGCTCTCACCTTTTAGAGTGACTTCTAGAGGTATTTTGGGCAGCTGACCATTAATGACCTCTTGCAGGTCCAGCTCCTTCTCCTCATTGAAATGAAGCTCTCGGCCACCACCACTGGCAAATCTGAACGGGATCAGATCTGGACAATGGAAGCCATACAGGGGCTGAAACAAAGACCAGTGGAACATGCTGTATTTCAAAAGTAGGTAAGCAAGAAGCTCATGAGATGAGTGACATGAGTGAGTGAGTGAGTGAGTGAGTGAGTGAGTGAGTGAGTGTGAGTGAGTGAGTGAGTGAGTGAGTGAGTGAGTGAGTGAGTGAGTGAGTGAGTGAGTGAGTTGGGTCTAATGACCCATTGAACAGTAATCAAGTCACATCACAGCATGCCAACCCAACCCATGTAGATGTTTATTTGCGATAAACTGGGATTGAAACCCATGAGGCTTTGTTTTGACCAAGGGAAGCAACTCTGCCAAGCAAATTTACAGATCAAGAATGAAATACATGAATCAACCACCACAACACCTTGTTATAGCACGATCATGGTAATGGCAGTAAGCATGGTATTACTAGTAAATGTAATGGTTGTCGTAGTGAATTATTGCCAAATCCAGGATTCCACCTGAACAGTCAATGATTAGTTTCATTGCCATGATTTTCACACTCCAATTTTCAGAAAGAAAGAGTCCACAGCTATAGTCCGTTTGGCTCAAAAGAGGACCGATGAATTGCAATCTAACTCGAAAACTAATAAACATAAAATACTCAATGAAACGCTGATCATAATCAAAACATCATACCCACTCTGTGAGGTTTTTTGCAGAATTTTCGTCCTAAAAATAATAATGTTGTTTAACAATCTATCATTAACATATTGACACAGTTCACTATTTGTTACGAGGGAGGAGTACAGAGAAAGGGACAGCCAGGTGTTCGAGAACGGATGGAGACGGCACAGCACAGGTTAATGAATAAATAACTTTGTCTGTGCACGTGCTTCTCGAACACCTGGTCACATGATTGTTTACACGGGAAAAGGGAGGTAACTCGTGTGTGAGTGTATTTTTACGTCCGAACTTCAAGGGGAGATAAGCAAAAGATCATGAGTCAGGATAAGAAAAAATAATACAAAACAAGGGCCATAACTGCTCCACATGTCTCTAAAGATATTAGTAAGTGAGTTTAGTTTTAGGTGGTGGTCAGTAAATAATCGAGTCTGGACCAAACAAGCCAGTAATCAACAGCATGAGGTGAGGTGAGGTGAAATTGGGTTTTACGTCGTGCTTGAGAATATTTCGCTCATATGACGACGTGCATCAGTGCATGCATGTGTATGTGTATGTGCGGCTGCTTGTACTAGCCCAGACTGAAGCTGGTTTTACAGTGCTCGCCCACTGAGATACCATGCAGCAGTGAAGCATGAATACCCCACTCAGACACATTATACTGACTCCAAACCCACCAGTCCTTGCTGTACCCATTAATGCCGAGCGCCAGGCAGGGACCAACAAGTACCATATTTAAACGTCTTTTTGGTGTGACGCGGTCGGGGATCGAACCCGCGACCTTCCGCTCTCCGGGCGGACGCTCTAACCACTACACCATGGAGGCGGTCCAACAGCATGAGCATCGATCTACACAATGGGGATATGATGACTTGTGTCAACCAAGTCAGCGAGCCTGACTAACCGATCCCATTAGTTGCCTCTTACGACAAGCATGGGTTACTGAAGATCAATTCTAACCCAGATCTTCACAGGTTAATAAACTGATTAAGACAGCAATGTCTCATCATCTTCAGCATGGTAAAAGACAGTCCTTTGGTTTTTCCTGCTATGACCACATTTCAGAAAAACTAGTGTCACACCTAAACCTTGATAAATTCAATCTCCTCAATAAATCTTTCACAATATCACATCCCTGCAAAGATTCACATTAATGTCAAATAGCTAACGTCTTTGAGTGGCAGTTTTTAGAAGTGAGATAAGGACAATCTTGATGAATGAACAACGACGTTGTGATACAGATGCCTGCTTGACAACGATACAAGAATCTGTATCTAAATGTCACCTGAATAAAGAAGTTGTAGTTAAAGTTATAGTTCGCCTTATCTGTCGAACAGTTAGTCTCTCTACCTCAATGTTCTTGACCTGCAGGGCCTGGTCAAAGTCCCATGTGGACAGTCTCCGTCTTTTACCATGATGCATAAACTTTACAGCTTCCTGAAATGGAACACTGAGCTATGAAAACAAAATATTGAGGTAATGTAGAAAATATTTGTGAAAAAATACACAAAATTTGTTAAATGAACTCAAAATATTTACTGATTCAAATCTGACAGTTTCCCAACATACAAAAGTCAAAACTTTATGTCCTGCAAAGATACGTCTATTAACACACACCATAAAATGATAATGCTTCTAGAAAAACATCATTAAAGTTTAGTAAAACATCATTTATGTTGAAAGATGTCACATCGCGGAAAATTACATGAAGCAAGATACAGAGTTTATTATATTTCCAGAGGTCTCACCAGAAACAAGATATTTCATCTAAATGAGTGTGTGAAAAGGACTTCTTCTCGAAAGCGGTTTTGTTATCCCTACTTGTATAATTTGCTTCATCCTGTATGTACAATCCTCTGCCAGTTGAGATGCTGCCTCATCAGCAAGTCCCGAAACACCGACTGACTCGGCAATGGTTTTCATCGACTCCACTGTCAGATGGCTGCTGACCTTCCCTTCCTTTCCATCCTTTGAGCCACTTTTTGACATCCTGATGCTGTGTCTGAACAGATGAAACACAACATCATCAGGTGCTTGATGATGCAAAATTCATGACTGTATCAGCACCAAATACGCAAATAATCACTTCTTTCATATCACTTATCTCTACACTGAGTGAGTGAGTTTAGTATTCGCCCCTTTTAGCAATATTCCAGCAATATCATGGCAGGGGACACCAGAAATGGGCTTCACACATTGTACCCAAGTGGGGAATCAAACCCTGGTCTTTGATGAGACGCGCAAACGCTTTAACCATAAGGCTACCCTACCTCCCCTGGTGAGTGAGTATGGTTTATCCTGCCTTTAGCAATACTCCAGCAATATCATGGCAGTGGAAACTAGAAATGGGCGTCACACATCGTAACCATGTGGGGAATCAAACCCAGGTCAGGCGTGACGAGTGAATGCTTTAACTACTAGGCTACCCCACCGCAGCACTTCTCTCCACAATTGTCCATCACATAAACAAAGCCTTGAACAGTTTTAAGTTACTTGTTCTTAGAAGTGAGTGAGTGAGTTTAGTTTTACGCCGTTTTTAGCAATATTCCAGCAATATCACGGCGGGGGACACCAGAAATGGGCTTCACACATTGTACCCATGTGGGGAATTGAACCCAGGTCTTCGGCGTTACGAGTGAACGCTTTAACCACTAGGCTACCCCACCGCCCTGTTCTTAGAAGAGAACTTACAGTTCATATGAGTAAGTGAATTGGGTTTAACATCAGTTTGAACAGTATTCCAGTTTTCTCACAGCATGTCAGTTTAATGTGGGATGAAAGTCCAAAGTGAGGCAGGGCTTTGGCATTTGTCAAGTTGTGGAACAAGGGTATGATTCAGTGTTTGCCCTAGGCATAAACATTTAGGAGTCATCATGACTCCCTTGTGTCATGAGAGGAAATCATAGACATGTTTTGGGGAGTCAACTTCAGTTTGGAAATTTCTTTAAGACATCAACTGTGATTGTTTAATAACGACAAAAAAACAAGGTAAGGCAGGTCAGGCATTTAATCAGCACATGCATTGACGCAAGCTTCTAAATTCACTGCGTATTTGATATAATTTGTGCGTCAAAGCTAGGGTTAGTCTGCATATTTGAGATAATTTGTGCGTCAAATACGCAGGTTTTCTGCATCATGGCAAACACTGGTATGATTGGTGATGCAGTTCAGTTATGATTTCACTTTGGTGAAACCTACGAGCATGATGCTGACAAACCTATAATCATCACAAGCTTAAATGAGATTTATACCAATAATCATGTGCCAAAGGGACATAACTACTGCAGCAGATTACTACACCTCAGATGACTGGGCCACAATTAAACTGGAGTCTGAAAGGTTGAACTGTACATGGAGGAAGGCAGTAGCTCACTATTAACTCCCAAAAGTAATCACTTTTTGGGGCAGTTTCTGAAATGGGGTAGTCCCGTTAGTTAGACCTTTGAGTCGAGGTAAAAATCCTTTGATGTTTGATGTTGTGACAACAGTGTTGTTTAACACTTATCATATACATATACCACTGAGTAACACAAAGCCTCTCCCACCACTACTTTCAATCAGGTCCATGAAACCCAAGATTTTGAAAACTCTTTCACTTGAGTTTCAGGGAACACCTATCTTCATTTCTGAATGCAAACATGTAAGTTTTGAGTTGTTGGGATTTTCCGCAATATTTTGAATTGAGTTCTTCTCAATTGACAGGACATATAGTAATGCCACTTCCTTAAAGACAACCACTTCATATCAATCAGTTGTGAGCAACAGTTATTTTTTTTAATAATCAACTATTCATAATAATCAAGTATTTCACGGTTTTCACCGGTATCAATCTGTTACCGGTATAATGCTTACACACTTTTATGCTTTAAAATAAAGCTCTCATCCTATTTTCCAAGGAAGTGTAATGTAAAACAGTATAACCATCAAGTATAATCGGATTGGAGGTGTAGGAGGGACGTTTCGAACTTCAGGTAAGTTTTAAAACTCAATCAAATAAGTAAACACGTACTGCGTTTCAGGTTTTCACCTCCACCACTCAAGGACTGCACCCTCGAGTGTGTATATATATCCTAAATGTATAATGGAAACTTCATGAAGCTATTTGGGCTTTAATCAAGACTTTCATTTGACGTTCTTATAACTACACGCAAAATTCACTGGACGCTCCAACACACAACTTTTCCACAGACGCCATTTGTCGTCATGAAGTCTCGGAGTTGGATTATGTGAGCGGGATTTAGAGATATACTGTTAACGTTACAACTTATTACAGTATGTGATAAAATAGAAGGAAATTGTTTGATTCAAGTCACTACAACATATATAATTATAGTTATTCATATAAAACTCCTTATAAACAGTGTGTGTGTAAAGTCCAATGAATACTTATAGGTAACATTATATTACAATAGAACGAAATATATCTCTACAATCAATTACTTTTAGGATAATAGTATTTGTATTTCATGGTTACGGAAATAAACAACATGGCCGTTAGCATGCAAGGTGCTCGCTTGTAGCGCGAGGAATTGAACGTTACTTGCACAAAGAACAACAAGTGCCATGGTGCTGTATATTAATATAAACGTTGGTCAGAGGGTCGAAGTTTTAATAGGCGGGGGGATATATCGCGGAACTATTCAGTATAAAGGATGCATCATCACGAAAAATGGAGAATGGGTGGGGGTTGCACTTGATGATCCAGGTATGTAAACCAATCACATTGTTATCTTTAACATTACCATTTCAGCTCACTGCTAGACCTGGGTCACCTATGATCTAGATTATTAATTTGGTACCGTGTCTTGAACGAACAGTATGGTTTAGTAAACTTGATTGCAGGGCTGGGATAAAGGTCACTCGGTCAGCTGTGTAGTCGGATACCCACGTACATGACTGCCTTGACCTGTTTTCAGTGCAGGACTGGTTCAAGTAGCTGAGGTACTTGGGTCAGGTGGGCCCTGAGTAGGGATCTGAGTTACTGCCTGGACCAATGTGTTCAGTGTAAGGATGGGACGAGTGACTCGGCCCATGGGTCCTGAGTGGGACCCATGTACAAGACAACCACTGTACCTATGTGCTCAGTGTTGGGCCGGGACCGGTGACTCTTGGGTCAGGTGGGTGCTGAGTGGGACCCATGCATCCACATTACTACCTGTCGACCCATGAAGATCCAGGTTAGAATTGGTCTTCAGTAAGTCATGTTTGTCGTAAGTGGCAGCTAACTGGATCGGGTGATCAGGCTTTCTGACTTGGCTGGCACATGTCATAGCATCCCAGTTGCATAGATCGATGCTCATGATGTTGATCACAGGATTGTCTGGTCCAGACTCGATTATCTACAGACTGCCTCCATATAGCTGGAATATTGTTCTGAGTGGCATTAAACAACAAAGCCAACCAACAAGACTACCTGTACCTATGTGCTCAATGTTGTGCTGGGTAACTCAGCCCTAGGGTCAAGCAGGTACTTATAAGGACACAGGTACCCACAGATAACGTGTTGTTCATCACCCGATACATGTGATATTTAATATATTTAATATATACTAGAGTTCAGTTATGTTAATATTTCTTTCTCACTTTTGTGACTCTGTACGCTCTCCATGGTTGTATATGTTTATCGTTGTATACTTCACCAGGTGCTCACATAATGCAATTCACTGTATGGTGGATTCACAGAGTCCAGTGGTCCAAATAATTTTATAAGCAATATGGTTTTGTAGATGTAGTCTACGCTAGATGAGTGAACATGCATTTGAGAAAGATGTTTCTTATCTTTGTTATTAACTATCTATTTTGAAATTTTATTTTCAGTTGGTGACAACTGTGGAATGATTTTAGGACGAAGATATTTTCAGTGTCGTGACAAGTATGGAATATTTGTCAGAGCCAGCAAGATCAGGTTTATCTCAAGTGGGAGAAGGTATGAAATGATAGCATCACTACGCTTTCATAAATTTGCCAAACAAAGTTTTAATCTCATAAAAAATTAACCACACTGACACAGTGACTGGTGGTAAAAGTTAAACAGTGTGATGATTTTTCATTGTTAAATACTTTCCCATAACACTTGGGCTCCGTTTTATTTTATTTATTTTAATCCCATCTCTTGAGGCTGGAGATGAGAAACACATAAAAATACATGGAGTGCCTTAGAAAATTGACAAAAGATTACTTATTGACAAACAGAAGAATTGATGGTAGTGCCACATGTTCCGTTCACTGGTTTAGCACTCTTTCGTCATGTTTCCAACAATGAATCATACATTATGTTTAAAAATAGCACATATAAAAAATCTTTGATTAATCCTCATATGGAAATATATTTTGAAATACAGATTATGATATATTTAGAGTATTGTGTGTCTACTGAATATTTTTTTTCAGGTTATTTAACAAATACCATCGTGTCATAGACGACGATGCCGTGGAAGAGAATCTGTTCCATACTGAAAGTAAGATGTTATTGTCCTTATGTTATGGGGTTTTCAAACACTTAAGAAACATTCGTTGTGTTTTTTGCTAATCACATGAACAACTGTCAAACATCACACTAACTTATTAAAGATAACATTATCTTAAAAACCAAGAAATTATTTGAATAGTACCATGTGTTTGTGTTGTCACACCTTTCGTTATGCCATCAGAGATTATAACTGTGGCACACCAACAATGGTGATCCATGATTATAGTCCGTTTGGCTCCAAATTGGACCGATGAATTGCAATCTAACTCGAAAACTAATAAACATAAAATACACAATGAAACGCTGATCATAATCAAAACATCATACCCACTCTGTGAGTTTTTTGCAGAATTTTTGTCCCAAAAATTAAAAAGTTGTTTAACAAACTATCATTAAAATATTGACACAGTTCACTATTTGTTACGAGGGAGGAGTGCAGAGAAAGGGACAGCCAGGTGTTCGAGAAGCACGTTCACAGACAAAGTTATTTATTCATTAACCTGTGCTGTGCCGTCTCCATCCGTTCTCACTCACCTCTGCACTCCTCCCTCATAACAAATAGTGAACTGTGTCAATATTTGAATGATAGTATGTTAAACAACTTTTTCAGTTTTAGGACAAAAATTCTGCAACAAACTCACAGAGTGGGTATGATGTTTTGATTATGATCAGCGTTTCATTGAGTATTTTATGTTTATTAGTTTTCGAGTTAGATTGCAATTCATTGGTCCGATTTGGAGCCAAATGGACTATACAATGTCAATTACTGGATTATCTGGGAGAGACTTGGTTATTTAACAGCCAGTCATATCATTTTAACTTTGCAAGGTGCAGCTCAATTAACAACACAAGCCATATCTGGTTGTTTTTAAATGTTATTTCTTCTTTGCAAAGAGCCGGCAGTCACCAATGGTCCATATGACCCAGTACGGATGTCCTCGGAAGACTTTAGCCGAGTCAGGAGCTCCCTAGGCTTTTCCCTAGGTTTGTGCCATAAATAGTTATGAAGTCAGTAGATATTCTTTTTTATTATGGATAATGATTTAAATAAATGTAGTTGACAATTTCTGTATAACATGGTATAATCTGTTTGTCCTCCCAATTAATTATTACATGAAAACACTTTTCTGGACATACTGTTTTTGGCCACTGGTCATTTACATAAATATGCATTATGTTGGGTAGCACTTGTAAAAACATCCGAATCCTATTAATAAGTCATTTTGTAACATATTCTAAGTGAACCTACAAAATACATGTAAATCTTTTTTCATTATACTTCTCCTCATAACATAATAAACAAACCCAATATTATGTTCAAATTAATAATTTTTATTTGAAAAAAAGTTGAACTGTGTCATCTTAGCCACATTTTCTTCCCTAGTTGGTTTACATTTTGCCTCTTTCCTCCTTCCCATTTAATGTCAATTTTTCAATGTTCCACCAATCAAATCTGATTTCTCCTCATCCTGACCCCGTGATGGTCCAGGTTAGAATATTGATCTTCAGTAACCCATGCCTGTCGTAAGAGGCGACTAACGGGATCGGGTGGTCAGGCTCGCTGGCTTGGTTGACACATGTCATCGGATCCCAATTGCGCATGCTGTTGATCACTGGATTGTCTGGTCCAGACTCGATTATTTACAGACCGCTGCCATATAGCTGGAATATTGCTGAGTGTGGCGTAAAACTAACATCACTCACTCACTCTTCTCATCCTGTCTAATAGGGATCCAGTCCCTTGTATTAAATTACCACATGGGTGACCAAGATTTCTGAGGTTCTTATGACAAACTAAATATGAAATAAAAAGGATCAACATTTGAACCACACGAATAATGTTACCTTTATCAGGCAATGTCTAATGTATGATTTCAGATCAAATATTTCCTCACTGCCCAACACGAAGACACCACAATCTAAGCCATGCAGTAGGAAACAAGATCCCGGCCATCACGATGCTCCGACCTTCTACAAGCATGGCCTCGTTCCGCTACCACACCCAGCCCATACACACCTCGTACAGTATAGAGAACGACTTCATCCCAAGTCCATCCATTCCGAAGACCCACATGCCGTACACGGCACTACGGAGACAGGTTCGTCGAGGATGGGACAACGCACACTATGTACGAGAAATGAGTGTCCCATCTGGTAGAGAAAGGATGAAAATGTCACAATGGAACGACATCTCAGAATAGTTAATGTATGATTATCATCACTTTTGTTATGGCTGTGATTGAGAGGACCTACATGCAGGGTGCGATTTCATGTTTTTTTGAGAACCTGCAACGAGTGCAAACTTGCTTATAGATTTGGCTGCACCATCAAACTGTAGGTTGCACCAGAAAATAATGTCACTGGTTCTAAAAAGTAACATTTGTTTAGCAATTTCACAACAAGTACTCAGTATCAGATACGTTCAACAGAACCTGACCCCATGATGCTAATGATGAATGATTCTGTTTCAGTTTTGCATTATTTACAAATCTCAATTATATGATTACTTCTACGTCACTGATTTATGAGTACACAAGTCTTTCTGCTTGTAACAAGTCACGCAGAGGCAGAGTGAATGGTATTACTTCCAGTCACTTATTTCCCAATTAAAACACACAATGACAGCTATCAGATGCTGGAAGATTATTTTTACCTGTACCAGGTGCAACCTGTTACTGAAGGTAACCAGTGCACCAGCTATTGTCAGCATGCACAAGTGCAGGTTGTAAATAGAGAAATCGCACCTTCATATGTATTCATATGTGTCTAACAAATATCAAGACAAATGAACATACTGATAAACAACAGTACCTCAAAGACAAGACACATACTACTGGTAATGTCTTATTAATTTTTTTGCCATATTTTGTGATAAAGACTTTTTTCAAGTGCCATTATTGAAAATATAAAAATTGTAATATTTTGGCAGAAATTGTCCATATTTCCAAGGCTTAATACTTGTATTGTTATCAATATTACCAATTCATACATATATCATTAGATATATCCTGATGCTTTGTTTTTGAATCTGTCAACGAAGATCCTATTAACTGTATTTTTAAAAAGCATTAGTGTTTTTAAAAAGCTGATTTGTTTGAAAACACGGAATCCTTTTCAACATTTATTATTAAAGAAGCATTAGTGTTTTTTAAGAAGCTGATTTGTTTGAAAAGTCGAAGTCTTATTCAACATATATTAGTGGCCGATGTGCTAGAAGGGTGTTTATTGAGCACCTCAGTTACCATCAGTACTGAAGTATAAGACAAAATATTATGGATGTCAACTTCTTTATTGTACATGTATACACAATGTTTCTGGGCTTTTCCTTGCCCCTTCATCTGATGAATGATGATTTATGTATACAATAAGGATGAGTGAGTGAGTGAGTTAAAATTTGAAGTCACATTGGCAATATTCCAGCCATATCGTGACTAAACAAATTCGCCATAAATACATGTAAATTATAAAAACCTGTCATCGAAGGACAGTAAAACCGGCTAGAGTATCAAGATATAAAACTAGCATCTCTCTCTAAAATTGGATTTTAAATAAGGACAATACAGTATAAAAATGGGCTGTAGATCACCAACAACTGAAGGTAAATCACCATACTGGGGACACAATAAAGAAGAAGTTGACATTGATAGTATTCGGTCTTATACTTGAATACCAACTGCTATATGCCTCAAGAACCTCATATGGTTGAGATATTGCCGATGTGACGTTAAATAGTAACTCACTCACTCACTCAAGAACCTCAGTACTGAAGTAGGTAACCACAGGTGCTGATACTGAGGGGAACTGTAAAGTTCCATGGAGTCATAGTAATGCATTTTGAAATGGATGTGTATCTTCTCCATCTTTTTAGAAACTTCACATTGTGTCTTTGATACCCACCCTCTTTGTGGAATTTATCTGTGATAATGCGCACGGCTCACTGACCAGAGGTCAGTTGGGGTTATACATAGGCGTGGTAAAACTCGTCCACCGTCAATTTTGAAAGTCGATCCGGAAACTGCTGATTAAGGTGTACAATACTAAGTAGAGGTGGAATTTCATTCATAGGCGACTAAATTTGTCAATACGAAGGAAAGATAACAATATATGGATGAACAACTTCTTTATTAAAGAGAGAGCGATGTTTCGGTGTCATCCTTCCTCAGTACTTCAACTTCTAAATGCCTCTCAAAGAAGTGTCAGTGCTAAGAAAACCCAATAAATAATCATTGGTGTAGGGGATGAAGATTCTGAAAGATGTAAAACATTCTGTTTGCAAACATATCTACATTTGGATAAAAGCTCATATTTGATAATACTGAGGATGTGAATGGTTTAAACGGTAATTTTTCACAGTATGTATATTGTGGTCAGTTATTTGTAGATGAAAAAATACAAGGTTTTCTTGATTTGATAGACTCTTAATCCATGTAGAGTTGGCAGTACTGAGCTCTAATCCAACCCCTAGTGGTTAAAGCGTTGGCTCGACACGCCGAAGACCCGGGTTCGAATCCCCACAAGGGTACAATGTGTGAAGCCCATTTCTGGTGTCCCCCACCGTGATGTTGCTGGAATATTGCTAAAAGCGGCGTCAAACCAAACTCAGTCAGTCAGTCAGTCTAATCCAACCTGTGGCATCTGGCATTGCAAAGTAATGTGGTGTGTGGTCCTGTAGAGCTCAGGTCACGAATCAGTTGAAGTTAAGCAACGTCAAGTGCGGGGAGTCCTTGGATTGCTGAACGTGTTTGGCAGCTTGACTCCTGAGAGTTTCTAGGACTCCATTCTTGCCCCACAACAAAGCACATGTGATGCATGTGGTCTCACCTTGGGCAAGTGAGTTTGTTCAAAATTGCCTGTGTTCACCCAGCAGAAAGTGGGTACCCGGTGAGATAAGTCATGTGACTATTAACCTTCTAGCGCCTCACAGGCAGCTTGGGTTATCCGGGGGTAATAATAATCAGATTCTGATTACAGCATCCAGTGAGCAACTAGTCAGATTGATACTAGGGGCTATATAAATGAATTATTATTATCAATTACAAAATCACACTAGGGATGGTAAAGAGTAGATCCAACATCCATGAATGAAGTATAACCGTCACTGAGGCAGGTCTGTGGTTTAGCCTGTTTCCAGGAACCAGTTTCTTAAAATGAAGTGCCACCTCTACCAAAGTATTTCCCCAAAGGATAGAGATACAGTTTATCCATTGAGCACAGATCAAAGTGGATCTGTAGTTGTTATTGATGTTGTCAACTGGTATTTAGAGGGGAGCTTACTGTGATATTTATTTCTTGTTATGAACTTGTAACTGAACCACATCTATTGTTGTTTTGACACTATTTATCCTGTGATTCAGTGTGAATGATGAAGTACCTGTTGGCTGTGCCTTGTCATTTTGATTCTCTGAGACAGATCTTTCCTTTATGGTGTCATTTAGCACTAACTGTCATGGTGTCTTGCTCTGACAGACTTTACAATTGTGTGTCCATAGTGTCTGTTCTAGATCACATAGATTGTATTGATTTTCAGATATTGATTTGATACACTAATTGCCTCAAAAAGCAGAGTACATATCTAATATATGGATATGAACAATTGTGAGTATGTTGTGGAATTTTTTTTTTTTTATCAGAAAAATGTAAGGGGTACCCACACTTTCGGAGGTGTTTCGGTCAAAGTCCCTACAGGTATAGACGTGGGGCCTCTGAGGTGAAGCCAGGTAGGTGTATTTAGGCTGATACACCTAATTTTGTCACTGTCATATGCACAACCTGATCCAGATCTGAATTTTGTCAGTATTATGTTCTACGTGACACTCCAGCTTAATCCGCTAAAGTCAAACACTAGGATACCATAGCAGACATTATCCACTGGCTAGCCTAGTGGTTAAAGTATTTGCTTGTCACATGGAATACCCACGTTCGATTCCCCACATGGGTTAATGTGTGAAGCCCGTTTCTGGTACACCACTGTGATATTGCTGAAATATTGCTAACAACATCCAAGATGGTTGAAGATGGAGATGAGAAACACAGAATAGGACTGGATGGCCTAATGATAAAGTTCACTCACTCTTCACCGATTGTTATAGACCACTGATTGTATTTGCACACATGATCTCAAGAAGTAATATGCAATCCAGGCATCTTGTTATCTGTTTGTTTGCATGTGTACATACAATGTATGTTATGTTGGTAATAAACACACTCACACTCAAATAGGAAGTTACCTTCTGTATCAAGCACAGGTCCTGAAACAACTGGAATGTCCATTCATAAACTGTAAACTGCAAATTTACACTTGTCAGAGCGGACACAAAGTATGGGATCTAAACCACCAGTTGTCAGCCTTCCATTTTGTGGAAGCCCCAAAACCCATGCTTGTGTATTTCACAAAAGTGTCTGTTTAACGCAGCACTCATCTATATCACAGCGGTCTGGACTAGACAATCCAGTGATCAACAGCATGAGCATCGATCTACGTTCACCAAAGTGGCAAACTTCAGATATCTGCATCTCTTCCTGTGTTGCTTGCGGTGATATAACTGGAACACTGTTGAGGACCATTCACCCTCCACAGGTGATTTGTTTATATAGAAACAGCAGTGTTAACTGTCAAGTAAATGTGTCTTCTAACTCTTTTGTTTCCATAATAAGGAGTTTCTCATCGCCCGACCGACCCTAATCTTATTATCGATCATGATAATTTTCTTTCATTCCAGCACCACAGGCCCTCGTGTGTTTGCGAGGATTAAAGATTTAAGAAAAATATACACAAATTTGAGATGACCCCCGACACGAAATGTTTCACAGTACAATATATCATGACATGATGTATTGTACTGTGAAGCATTTCAAGTCGGGGTCATCTCAAAAACAATATTTTTTTAATCATTAATCTTCGCCAAGACACGAGGGCCTCTGCGTACCACCTCGTCATGTATAGATGTTACCACACCAAAACAATCGACAGACCCCTCATGATGTGCTACTGGCATAGGAAACTAAAATCATATCGAATGATCTACAAAAATTTCATTAATTAATATTGTATTAATAGGTGTTATCTTTGATTTTTAGGGTGGGTTTATCATTAAAACTAATTGTTTATCTTATAATCTGTCGCTGCCACAAGTCCAGAAAGACTTACAATAAATGAGAATCAAGAACACTAATCAGATAATTTTGTCTTTGTTAAGTTTTTTAACCCCGACCGACCCATGTTCAGAACACACACACACAAACATGATGCCCTAACCATGGAATCATGCATGGAAAGAACCGGACATAGCTTCAGCTGCGCTCACTTAAAATGTTCGGGAATACGTACATGATCAAGGACCTTGTGTGTCAGTCTGTCAAATGTGTGTATCTGACCAGATCAGTAGGGACAGGTCATATTGAGGTGAGGGTCATGAAAATATAGGGCGATGGGGTAGCCTAGTCGACAAAGCGTCCTCTCGTTACGCTGAAGACGGGTTCGATTCCCCACATGGACACAATGTGAGGAACCCATTTCTGGTGTCCCCCGCCCTGCTGGAATATTGCTAAAAGCGGCGTAAAACAATGCTCACACATGCACTTACTCTCACTTAAAGATGAGGTTATGTGAAATGGGGTTTAACGATTCATCACATGGGCACAATGTGTGAAGCCCATATGCATTTCGGAGCACCTTTAGAATCCCTCGCCATTATTTACAGAAAGTCACGACACATGTCACTCACCCGCTCCTTCATAGAAGCTCGGACTTGAGGTCCCGCTCTCTTGAGCTACCGGGACCTCGATAAGTACAGGTTCAAAATTTAGGGTCATACTTCCCGTGTGTTTCGAGCTGGAAGTTGGTTCGCTAATAGTAATATTAGTATGATGGAATGCTTGAAATTGATTTATCATTGGAGTTGGAATCGAACTGAGATATTGGGTATGGTCTTTCCTCGACAACAACTTGTGACTGGTACAAGTTCTGTAGAGAGGTGTGTGATGAATTGAGTGAGAGGCTAGACACAAGATATTTATGGTACCAGTAGCTATAGTAGAGATACTGAAACTTGGATCCTTTTCTTAACCCCTGGATGCCGAGTTTTCTTTCAGGCGCACATTTTCATACAGTTTAAAAAGTGAACGTTGTGCGAGAATTGCGCTCGCGTGGTGCTGGATCTACGTACGGCTATGAAAGTACACAGAAATGTAGAATATTAAATGTCTTATCCGTTGGTATAAATATAAGTGCAACTTCCTCGGCGGTTTGAGAAATAGACCTTGCTAAATGTTGTCCAAATGTTTGTTATGCGTTAAAAAAGAGTACATTTCTCCTCTTTTTATCGCGCACCGATAAAAGCACTGTGCTACGAATTTTTTAATTTGGCATCTTCACTGAAAGTGTGAGCGAAGAAAATACAGCCTGATATTTGAACGTCATAAGTGTATATGAATTGGG